AAATTAATATAGCANATTTTCATAAATATTATATAAATTAAAATTATATAACATAGAAAGTTAAACTAATTTAAATTTGTTTGCTTCTTTAAGTCGAGAAAAATATCTTTGAAATTTGAATCAGCTTAAATAGCCAATTTTTTCATCCGACCGAGCAACATACGGTTGCTGAGTTGGTAAAATTTATGTTTTACATACTTGGGGTACGAGGTTCCAACTCGCGTATGGCAATGAATTTTTTGCATTTTTTCTTAATTCTTTTTAAGTTAGTATAAATTTTAACTCGTTTGATTTTTATCACATTTAGATTCATTAACTTCAATAAAGATCAAGGATCTCATCACTTAAGTCGCCCCTTGTAAGAAGAAATTTCTTATTCGTAATAAAATTATTTTACTATATTTTAAGTTTTAGCTTCGATGCAAAGCCGAGAAGATATTTTTTTGTGACTATCATTTATTTTCTCTGCTCTAACTTGACCTACTTTTTTCAACAATACGTCAAATTACTACAATTCGTATCTAGTTGAAGATATTACTCTCAAAAATTGAAAAAAAAATTCTAATTTATCAATTAAACAGTTAGTTATTACATCGTCTCCATAAAGACAATTAAAATCATTNATTTATCAATTAAACAGTTAGTTATTCCATGATCTCCATAAAAACAATTAAATTAATTCATTTCTAATGTTTTCAAAGTATTTATTGACGAATTAAGTTTGCTATGATAGGTTTCAACTACAAAATTAAATCATTTTACTTTGTAATTTAATAATAATTTTACTCTATTTGTATGTGCTACTACTAGACTATAATATTACAATTTTTTTTTGTAACATGTTGCTATATAAATCATTTCTAAAAAAATGATAGTTTTTTCTCCTGAATTAACAATTGATTTTTTCAAATATAATCAAATTTTATAATACGCTCAATTGAGTAAATCTTCTTAACAACTTTGTTTTGATTAATACATTTAGTTAAAGTAAATCATTAAAATTAATTAAGTTCTTAATATTTCAATTGTAGAATCTTTTCTACAAACAACAAAAGTTCCTAGGAAATTATTACTATTACTTCTATTTAAGTTATCTATTACCATAAAAATGGAAAAAAATATTGAGCTTTTCTGATAAATTTACAATAAATAGTAATTATAAAACTTTCTGACTGCATATTGATCTTAACGATACAATTTTTTTAATTGTCATAAAATTTTCTATTTAATTATGTCAATGTCAAACTTACCAATTGAGCTAAAAGTTATGGTAAAATAAATTTTTTTTTTTTATTATAAACATTTACAACAATCAACTTTAAACGATTAACAAAATTGGTTAAATATGTCATTTTCCTTATTTTTAACTTATTAATAATCAAATTAATATTAAATATTATATCAAATCAGTATTAATTTAAAACAATTTTTTTTGTTCTTAATTATTTTTATTTATATGTAAATACTATTTTTTAATAATACTAAAACTTAGAAGTGATAGAAAAAGTCTAATTGCACATTTGAAAACATCGCGAAAAGTTGATTTAGAATAGTATATTTTTGATTCCTATGAAAGTTCCTTGTAGTACAATGTATAAAACATATAACTTTGTTAACTGTTATAACTTTATCAAAAATGGCCAAATCAAATGGTATATATTTTTTTTATTTAGATGCATGTCTTTATCTATCATTTGGTTTTTTTTTATAAATCTAACCCTTTACCTACCCACAGAGGGATTCAAAATATTAACTTTTTTTTTTTTNCTACCCACAAGAGGGTTTCAAAATAATAATTTTTTTTTATTTTAGTTAAAGTAAATCATTAAAATTAATTCAGTTCTGGATATTTCAATTGTAGAATCATTTTAAATACCAAAAATTACTTAGAAATGATATTATGATTTCTATTTAAGTGTTCTATTACGATAAAAATGCAAAAAAATAATGAGTTTTTCTGATAAATATACTGTAAATAGTAATTATAAAATTTCCTGACTGCATATTAATCTTAAAAATAACATTGTTTTAATTCTCATAAAATTTTCTATTTAATGATTCATTCTAGTCAACGAAGGAGTAATTTTGAAGAATAGCAGAAAAAATTCCCAACCAAATTTTTTTTTTTTTTAAATAGGCAATTGGTGGATTATTCCAAAAGCAACATCAACTCTTATTTCTTTAATTATATCCTGATTAGTAGTTCTTTGATTTTAAAATATAATATATGAATATATACTAATTATAATTATTAAATTTAGTATGAAATTGATATTTAATATTGTAATTTAAACGGAGAAATTATAAAAATAATAAAGAAGTTATATTTTGCTTTACTTTTACGTGTATAAAAATTTAAAGGGCTTGATACAATAATTTTCAATAAAAACTGTTTGTTACTATAAAAAAATGCACTGGACTACAAGGAACTTTCATCAGAAGCAAAAATATACTTTTCTAAATCAACTTTTCGCGTTGTTTTCAAATCTGCAAGTAGACTATTTCTATCACTTCTAATTTTTTATATTATTACTAATTATATATATAAAATAATAATTAAAAGAAAAAAAAATTTGTTTTCAAATTATTACTGATTTGATTTTTAATATGTTAAAAATAATCAGTCCAAATTTTCAATTTTAACCTATTTTTTTGGTTCTTTAAAGTTGATGAAAAATTTTTGATAAAGATTTATGAAAGTTTATAGTAAAAAAAATTGAATATATTACCATAACTTTTAGCTCAATTACAAGTTTAAAATTGACATCTAGGCCAGTCAACAAAGGAAAAATTTCTTAAAAAATTCCCAACAAAATTTTGTTTTATTAATAGTTGAATTAAAATATGTATAATGACATACTAATAGTCCTCATTGATTGAAATTGAGCTTTTTTTTACAGCCTCGCAAAAGTTCAAAAATATGAGCTTTTTTAATTTTCTCAATAAATATTTAACTTACAAAAAAAAGTTTTGTACAAAAGTTGTTTAAAAAACAATTTTAAACAAAAAAGGTATCTTATATTTTTTTATTTAAACAAATATTTTTCGAGTTACATTACATTTAATATGAGTACTAAAATTTATTTTCAATTTTTTTCATTTTACGGTTGCTTTTTATCGTGTTATACATTAGACACAATGTTATAAATGCATACGTGTGTATGTGTGAGTTTATTTTTTTATAGTATCATTTAAGTGTAGTGTATATTAAGATACAACCGATAGAGTAGGTAATTGATTTGACACTATATTGTTTAAACCCAACTAAACGCTAAATTGTACATTCCCAAACAACAATCATATTATGTCAATTGCCACCGGAATTTTTGGTAATCTTTTTCTTTTTTTTTTGCCTTAATCCCAACTACTTGGGGTCGGCCACCCTTATCCTAAGCTTCCACTTGAAACGATCTCCCACATCTTCTACGCTCACATCAGCTGTCCTCAAATCGCATTCAATAGCATCCCTCCATCTCTTTTTTGGTCTTCTTCTATCTCTTCTTCCTTCAACATTCATTTCTACAACTGTTATTACGGCTTCCGATTCTTCTATCCTCATAACATGACTAAACAATCTAAGTCTATTTTCTGTCATCTTATCCACGATTGACGCAACACCTTTACTTCCTCTTTATATGCTCGTTCCTTATCCTATCTTCTCTAGTCACTACACTCATCCAACTAAGCATTCTCATCTCTGCTACACTCATTCTCGGCTCTACTTTTTTATCAACCACCCAACACTATGAACCATACATCATAGCTGGCCTCACAATTTCATACTAAATTTAAAAACTATAATTAGTACTTATTCATATATTATATTTTAAAATCAAAGAACTACTAATCAGGATATAATTAAAGAAATAAGAGTTGATGTTGCTTTTAGAATAATCCACCAATTTCTTTAAATGAAACACTATCTACAGATTTGCATCGAAGCGTTTCTTATGATAGTGATTTTAATCACTGTCAGATATCATCTATACTTGTCCCATCTATGCCTCGTCCACACTGTGCCTCGACCCCACTGTGCTACCGTTTTTTTTTNCAGATATCATCTATACTTGTCCCATCTATACCTCGTCCACACTGTGCCTCCACCCCACTGTGCTACCGTTTTTTTTTTTATTTTGCTTAAAATTTAATTGCATAAACAAGAAGTAGATGGGGTTATTTCACTTATTCCTTTAACTGCGCTTCTGTAATATACTTGGTGCCTGCTCAGACATTTTATCAAAAAATTCCCACTGAATTTTACTTTTTAGACTACGTTAGTTGTAGTTTAATTTTTATCAGATATTACTGTTCATTACTGCATTAAGTGATAAGGTACAACAAAAAATTGCAAGCATTACACTATCTAGCTGAAGTAATAAAAAGTTTTTTTTCAAATTCAAAAAACTCAAAAATTATTTTGTAAACATATTTTTTAAATGTTAATATCTACAAAAAA